AGCAGGAATTTATCTTCTCACAGTCTGGAGCTGTGTGGTCCCAGATCACGGTCCCATGGGGCACGGTTGGTGGCGGGAGCTCTGCTCCTGGCTTGTAGATGGCCACCTTCTCCCTCTGTCCACGCGTGGCCCAGGGGAAGAGAGAGATCGCGAGAGGAGAGGGTCAGGGCTTCGAGACGTGACATTCAGGGAACACGGTTCAGTCTGCAGCCCTGAAGTCTTCATTTATAATTTCGGTATTTTAGCTCATCCTGACTTTCTAAGACTTTACATTAGGGAATTTATTATTTCTCATGACTGTTGAGCTTCGGGCACCCCCTTGAGTCGTGCACCCAAAGAGCGGGCCCCCCTCTCCTCGCCCTGCGCCCAGCCCTGATCCTCGGCCTCTCCAGCTGATGTCCTCTTGTGGCCACTTAGGGCCCTCGACCTGATCACACTCACTCCAGACCTTAGCTTATGGGAGGACCCCTCGGCCGGGCGAAGCAGGGGGCCGTTCACAGATCGCAAACCTTCGTTCACGGAGGGATTGCGCGTGTGCCCGCCCCATCGCGAAGCGTCTCATTTCCTTCCCTCCGTTTTACAAAGCTGCTGCCCCCAGTCCGGTCCCCCTCCTTCTTTCTCCCTGACATGTTAACAAGCCTAGGAGACCCCCTCCTCCCGGGAGCATTTTACAGATGCAGAAACGGAGGCAGGCCCGTGGCGTAACTCGCCCAAGGTCTTGGAGAGAAGGGGCAGGGGCAGAGCAGAGCAGCAGCCCGGGGCTGTCCTCCGAGCTCCTTGCTGGCCTTCCGCAGGTCCCCTGCCCCTTCTGCCCACTTCACAGTTTGCCGCCTCCCTCCCCCTGAGCTGCTTCCTGCCTTCTCTCCAGCCACCATCGTTACCGAATGACTGTCTCCCTTTGGGAAGAGCCTAACGTCCTCGTGCGACGTACTGTAATGGCTCAGCTGTGGGACTTCAGTGCCCTTATATATAAAACGATGATCATAGTTGGGAAGGTCACGTTCATATGCAAAGCACTTCCCACACTCCGCGGGCAAAGTGGTGATAGCAATGCCGATCGCGATAATAATACAGCGGAGGTTTGTACACCGTCCTGTGTATCGGTCCCTTGCCCTCTCCGATAGCCCGGGTATAAGCGACTCGGGGCGTAAATGACATGCTATGTCATCATAGCCATGCAAGGAGTTTTTCCTCAATGTGAGCTACTTTTGCTTTGAGCACTTAATTAGAATCTCGTTAAGGTCATCCTAGAAATATTTGGAAGCGCAGTAGAAGTCTTCCGAAAGGAACGTTCGTTGTGTTTGATTAGAAAGGGAAATAACATGCTCGATAAATCTTAATGTGGATATTAGTTATTTTTATAAGAAATGAATATCACTTTTGCATTTCATAACCTACCTACTTGTTTCTCTAGTGATAAGCGAAAAACTTTTGACTTATTTTTTATAAATGAAAGTCTTTCTGTTCATCGCTTAGCCAAATATTTAGTTGGGCGACAAACGACATTCAATTTGCAAAATATGTTGGGTTTCTCAAGGATTAACGTGTTTTTCTTAAATCCAAAAGAGGCAAAGTTATCTGGATAAAAGCCTTTCGAAATTTAGCTTTCCTTTGTAATCACTCAGCATCTCCTACTTACATTAGCAGCACACATATCCGCGGAGAAAATAAGTGCGTAGTAGCCTGTGAGCACCTAGCCAGAGCAGGGCTTCTTTCCTGCCTTTGTTTGCCATTACTTGTAGTTCTTTAAATGAAACCATCTGTTCGGATTTAAACTTAAAGATAATGCGACTCAACAGTTGGTTGCATTATGTGTAACAACCAACTATCACTGGTAAGAGAAGGTGGGCATTTGCCAAGAAATGAGATAGTAAGTTGAGAATGGGCTCGCGTTCTAGGCCGGCTCTCAGGATTCCGTGCCCCCAGGCCCTGTGACAGTCGGCAGATGGGAGTCAGGAGGCAGGGACGGGGAGAAACCGGACCGCGCCCCTCGGTGGTGCTTTGCTTGCTGTCGCCACCTCGGGCCCTCCCGAGCCCCACGCTTGCAGCCCCCGCTCGTTCCTTGTCGTCACCTTTAGACTTCAGGTCACGACAGCACACTCGCGGTCATAGGTAGGTTGCTCTCGACTTGTAGAGTATTTTTAGAAAGAAAAGACATTTTGCTGAAAAGCTATTACTTCCAGCTTCTCTTAAAAATTGTGGATTATCAGCCCGATCTTCGTTCCTGAGGACAAGTCATCTGCGGGAGCACGGAAGCGGCTTCTCCAGAGACTTGGCGTGCTCTGGCCAGCCTGACCGTGTGCCTGTGTTTGTGCATGCTCTGGTGTGCTCTGGCGAGGTCCACATCGTGTTCCAGACGCCCACACAGGGCAGAGGCGGGACCCTGGGGTGGGACGGGCTGGCTGCAGAACCCGGTCGTGCCCCTTCCGCGAGGCACTGACCTCTCTGGAGTCTCCTTTCCCGTCTGGACCCGGGCATGAGAGAGGAACTCCTTCAGGGGAGTCACGGTGGGAGTTAAAAACAAACTTACGTGGCTGCGAGCCGCCACTCTTGCTGTTAAGTGTCCCGAGTGTCCGGCAGCCAGCACGGCACAGCGTTTCGCTGTGCACACGTCGAGCTCGCATCACTCACTCATCCATATCTTTGAGAACCAGGCCCAGTCGGGTCGGAGTGGGATGCTGCCCCGCGCCCTGCCCCAAGTGCTAACGGAGGCCCTCGTAACCATGACGACGGGTCTATCATAGTGGGCAGTGTCCTAGTTAACCTCCCTGTGGAAACGGTTCAAAATGTCGGGGGCGGAATGTTTGCTAGACATCCCTTAATGGGCATTTTAATAAAATATGTTCTCTGTACAGTGAGATCAAGCGGAGAACAGCGAGAGTCCAATTTAACCCAGGCCGAGTGAATCTAGAAGGATCCATGGAGGGTGTAGCCATGGGGCCGTTTTCCAGAAATGTTATTCCGTGCCTGAGTCTCGGTAAACACTGGGAAATCGTGAGTCCTGGAGCTGTTCTCCAAGAGGTACCTGAATCTCAGGTGTTCTGAGCCACCTCTCAGGGCTGATCTTTGTGCTGTGGGTCATCAGCTCACCTTGGAGAGGGCTGGTGTCCTTCGGAGCACTGTGAGGTCTGATCAGATGACCCTCAGGAGTCTCAGGTGGAGAGCAAGGTGCTCCCTAGACAGCGGCTCTAAATTGTCAGAGTCAGACGGATGCCAACAGAGAGGGTGCTCAGTGACGAGGTGATGGATGCAGGGAGGGGAAGAAGGAACGAGAAAATGGGAGAAGCGGCACGCGTTCATTTTAGTCTAAAAATTTACCGTGGTCGTCACCAAACGGTGCCTTGAGTCATAAGATAAGCTCCGTAAACAGGCGTTTACATTAAGCAGCGTTCCTTGCTGGTGCAACTTCTGAAACAAAACAGCTTGCAAAATGCGTTCCAGAAAACCAAACGTGTCGTCTCGTCGTGGGCTGGAAGTCAGTTACATGTGTGGAGATATTTAACTGATATTCTTTGGATCACAGGAGAAAGTGCTGCTTCATACCGCCATCAAATATTTATCAAAAGCTCAGTTATGGGGACTTTTTGAAAGGAATTGAGCTCTTCTGGAGACTGAGCACAATTTTTTTCTAGGGGTTACTAAGCCCAAATGAGTGGATGCCGGATTTAAACCCCGCTCCCAGAACGCAATCTCTTCATTTATTACTGAGATCACGTAAAGCCTCCGGTTTAAGCCCCACCGCAGGAAAACAGGTCAGACGATTTATCAGGGAGTGAAGCTGGTTTGCTGCCCTCGGTTCAGTAGAAAGCAAACCATCTCCCACGGCCAATCTGTCCTTGCTAGGACAGTGTTAATTCCCACTGCACAGGATTCTGCCTGTCGTTTGTCCTCCGTTAAGAAGCAAGATGTTTTCCGACTGACTGCATGAACCTCCAAATCATCTTTTCTTAGTCATGAGACAAGAACCACGAGCGGGCTCTGACCAAAAAGCAGAACTGTCCTTAAGAAATGACTCTGCATTTGCACCAAAGCTAGCAGGCGGTCTGCTTTGTGGTTCCACTTTTTTTTTTTTTTTTTTTTTAATTATTTGGTTTTTCTCCCACGATTTCGAGTTGCACTAGTCCATCCGTCTTTGCGTAGATCGATACGGTTCACCTGAGGAAAGGAAAACCTTTTCCTGTCTGAACCAGAAATGTCATCCCTCCTCTCTAGTCACGTTTATTTTATTTCGTGCAATGGTCTGTTCTGGGAGCAGTTTCGCCCCCAGGGGACAGCTGGCGATGCCCAGAGACATTGCTGGTTGTCACATCTTGAAGGTGAGCTGCTGCTGGCACCTGGTGGGTGGAGGCCAGGGTGCTGCTCAGCACCCTCCGTGCACAGGACGCCCCCAGAGCACAGAACCACCACGCCTGCTCCAGCGTTCACCCTCCGCCCGTGCGATTAAAATGCTGTGCGGATTCATCAAATGATCCTGGCGTCTCTTTCCTTCTTCCTTAGCCGCTAGCTCGGTTTGCTCCGCCTCCCCATCATCTCGTATAAGCGGGTTGTGTTCACTGTCTCCGTTTTCCTTCTCACTCGTCCCGACTGAAGCCCTCAGACTTGGGTTTTATCTTCGCCCCCATACAGGATGCTCCTTGATGGTCACGAGGTGCCTTCTCCTTGAATGTCCCCAAGATTAGACACCCAAGGAAACACTTGTCCCAGAAGTTTTGGTGTGGCACACCCTCGATGCCCCATGCTCTGTTTCTCCTACTCTTCTCTCAAGCATTTCCGGTGGCCCTTCCAGGTGCCCGTCCCAGCCGAGGGCGCCTCCGCCCCCCGCCCCCGGCCTCCTCCAAAGATGTTCCGTTTCCTTTTCTTCCCTTGGAGCCATCGCCCATTTAATCGGATTCATACGTAATCCCTCCTGGCTGATGCTCCCCAGACGAGCATCCCTGGCTTTGACCTTCCGCCGAAGCGGACGATTCTCTCTGCCCCTTCTAGACATTTCCTCTTGCTGCCTGGCACGTGTCGGCACTTCTCCGGCACCGGACACTCTGTCCTAGCAGGAGACACAGATTACTAGGCCACAGTCTCAGCCCTTGTGGCATTCACAGACCAGTGAAGAAGACAGACTCTGGGGCCAGAGGCCGTGTTGGTTTCAGGGCTTAGGTGGACGTCCGTCCCGCTGCGTCCCAGCAGGCAGGCTGACCGGAAGCGGCGCTCGGACTCTCTCGGTGCCTCCAATGACTCCATATCGGGGCAGCAGGAACCTTCAGGACATGTGAATTAAAGCACTTTATGAATCGTAGACCTATATTAATAAAGACTCTATTTTTAAAATAGAACCAAAAGTAGACGTTTTGAAAAGACAATCTTCAGAAGTAAATGTAAATATAATAGATATTACAAATTAATGGTAAATGTAAATTAGTAACAGGAAGAGTAAACAAAAATTAAGAGGAAATAGAAATAGAAATTTCTACTCGTCCGCATAGGAAACCCTAGACTTTCTTTTCAGCTTCGTATGTGTGAAAACTATTTCCCCAAGGATGATAAACCACTCAGGGACTAGGGGTGGTAGAGGCGGGAGCTTGTGATCTCCTGTGCTGGTCTGCCAGGGCCGCCGTAGTGACTCAGACGGGTGACTTAAACCACAGCCGTTTCTTTTTCTCACAGTCCCGGAGGCCAGAAATCCCCGGTCAGCGTTCCGGCAGGGCTGGCCGCTTCTGGGCTGGTCGCCCCCCGGCTTGCAGCTGGCCTGGGCCGGTCGCCCCCCGGCTTGCAGCTGGCCTTCACCTCCCTAAGTCTTCGCGTGGTCTTTTCCCTGCTCTATCTGTGGCCTCATTTCCTTTTCACATAAGGACACCTGTCCTGCTGGACTAGTCATACTAATGACCTATTTTAATCTTTATCACCTCTTTAAAGACCCTTTCTCCAAATACAGTACTGGGGGGTTAGGACGTCAACATGAGTTCGAGGGGACATACGTCAGCCCATAATACGCCATCCCCCAAATGCTATAAGGAGGGAGTGGTGTCTTTGGGGGGGGCGGGGCTGTAGCAGGTGTGGGGTGGCAAAGAGGAAGAATGAACCCCCAGCCTCTCTTCACTACCCCCCCTTTCCCTGGCCCTCCCATTGGTCGTCCAGCGGGAAACCAGGGGACACGGAAGGGGCCCTGCCTGCAGGTCGGCCTCCCCAGCCAGGGCCCCCCAGAGAAGGGGAAGACTGGGTGTGAGGGGCCAAGGGGAAGCGGCAGCCAGACCCTCCCCTAAGGAGCCTCCTAGTGGCGATTTCTGGGTTAGGACGGCGTCGGCCGCACCCGGTGTCGTCTGGTGTTCACTGTCCTCAGCCACAGAAATGAAATGAATTCTCGAGCTGAGACTGATTCTCGCCGCTGTCGGGTCGCCGCGGCAAGCGTCCCCTGGGAGCGGAGCCGGGTGCGGGGCCGGAGGGAGGGGTCCTGGCCGGCCGCTCTGAGCGCCGCCGCGCTGGCTGTGTCTGTCCCCTCAGGAGCCCGAGCGCCAGTACCTGCACATCGGCACCATGGTGGAGTTCGCCTTCGCGCTGGGGGCCAAGCTGACCGCCATCAACAAGCATTGCAATAGTATATTACTGGTTGAAATCTGTCCTTACAACTTTAGTGTCTGGCTATGTTTATCTTTGACAGGAGAAAGAGGAAAAACATTCTGAAATCATGCATTCAGTGTTGAGGATACTTAACCACATGGAGTAGTGCCCTAGACATCCAGCTATCTAAGAGAAACTGTCATTGGGATGAGGTACAGAGAAGAAACTAGTATATATCTCTATATCTAGATATACATAGATAGATATATAGATATATAGATAGATACATAAATAGATATATATATATAGATAGATATATAGATATATAGATTTAGATATAGATCTATATATCTATCTATCTATATCTATATCTATATCTATATCTATCTACACATATATATAGCAAGTGGACCGTAGGCTGGATTTTAGTCCCAGCGCCCCTGTCCCTTCAGCCAGGGATAAGCCGTGACATGCCCAGCCTCAGCCTCCCTGTGTCGCTTCCAGAAGCCCCTGACTGTGAGCCACTCCGTTATTTCATGGAGTGCTACCAGTAGACCTGCCTAGACGATGCATCCGGACTTCAGAGAAGTGACACAGTAAAAAAATATATATATTTTTAGATGCATCTTAGAATTGTCGGCAGAGTCACACGCTCCTGGGTCACGACCTGCGAGAATGCCAGGCTGGCAGACGCGCGCCCGCGGTTCGGAAATGGCTACGGCCTTTCGGGTCGAATGTTCAAACGTAAAAGGAAAATCCGACTTTCTTGGCAAAAAAAATTCTAATCGGTACCTTCCTTACTTTGAGTTGGTTCTTTAGCATGTTTCGTGATGACTCCCCTTTTACAAACGTTTCTCCAAAAAAAAAAAGAAAAAGCGTGTCCGCAGCCGGCAGGTTAGCCCTCGGCTGCCCGTGACGTTGGCACAGTCGCCTGCGGCCGTTCACAGCTGTCAGAGCCTCTCTGACCACTCCGTTTCTCCTGGCGACACACGTCGCGTCTTCACAGATGAGCAGTTCGACGAACCCCACCTGAGTGGCTTTTCGCTTCTCTTAGACGCCGATTCCAGCTTTTTCCAAAACCCCGATGTTTAGAGCTATTTTCGTCCTTTGCGTCTCTTGAGCAAATGGGATTCTCCTCTCCGTATGTCCACCGCATTGTCGGCGTCTGGACACGGGTTTCTTTATACCTTCTCCCCTCCTTGCATGAGGACCTGTAGCTGGGCCGCGCCGTATACAAAGATGAGGGGGTCCAGGTGGGCAGGAGGCTGCCCTGTCACCTGCCGACCACGTCGAACGAGGAGTCGTCCCTTTGACCCTGGAGATGCTTTATTGTTTTGTCAGCTCGGAAAGTGGGCTCTTCCAACTTTCATACTGCCCTCCTTTGAAAACAATAAAGAAATCTCGCATGGCAGAATGACCCTCCTATTCTCAGACGTATACGGGCCAAAATATTGCTGTCCTTCGCCGTGAGGGGAGCAGGGACAGTTACTTGCTAAGTCACATGTTTATATTCCAAGCACGGTGTTCTGGGTCTCCACCAGGGCAATGTTTTTCAAATTACTGTGAGCAGTGGAATGGGTCTCCCGCGAAGGTATTTGCTGAGTGCTGACTTTACACTGATTATTGAGTAACTAATAATAACCATCCACTCCCCACATACCAGCTCCTCTCTATTTCTAAGGAAGCCTCAGCTCAGTGTTTCACTGGGCCGTGGAATCTGCCTTTCCCCTACACCCTGGCCCTCTCCCAGGGCGCAGCTTCCCTGCTCCGCCTCGGTGCATGGCACCCTCCAGTGGCTGTTCACGGTAGGAACTGAGAAGAATGATAATGCACCCCTTCAAAAAAAAAAAAAAAAAGATGATGTTGCAAATAAGAAGAGCCGACTTCGCTCCTGACCTCCTTTCTGTATGTTAAGCTGTAGAGTCAGTTAATGGGAACCACAAATTGAGCACAGGCTTGCACTGGAGGAGAGATCGCCCCATTGCCGGCAGTAACCACCCCGGTTCTCCCCGCCCCCAGCCGCTGGCGAGCAGGACTCAGAGCCACCAGAAGAAAAGCTGAAGTAGAGGGGCTGAGGTCACCCGCTGGCAGCCAGCAGCTGGTGCCTGGGCACTCCGCCCCGTGTGGCAGAGCTGGAATGAATGATTGGGGGTGCCCAAGGCAGAGGTGTTGAGTTTTATTGAGCATTCCGCAAGCACGGGAGAGTTTTTTTCCCACCTTAGAAAATGTAATTTGGTGGAACAGTGTTTGTACCGAGTTTCCTGCCTGCCTCTCCATTGCCAAGAGGAAGCTTTGCCTGAAATCCATAACAAGGCATAGCACACGAAGCACTTCGGCAGCAGGAAATGAAAACTCTCAGAAACGCCCTCAAGAATCAAAGCGATTAGGCACCTGCAGCAAGGTGGGGGGCCCAGATCTGGGAGGGAGTGAGAACGAGGTAAACGACCCATCGAGGCCACATCTCCCTTTGTATGTCTGCCCCGCCTCCGTGCCATTGCGTAAAACTGGGTCTGTGTGCGTGAGCTGAGCTCTTGCGACAAGGACTCGTCCTAGCCCGTGCACTGGGGGCGGGGGATGAACCCCTGCCTGTTCCTGACTGGAGAAGCTGATCAGAATTTTGAAGCTTTGGCGCCTGGTGGCAGATGCCATCTCAGTATCCCATCCGGCGTCAACGTGCACCTGCCCTTAGGTGTATATATGTAATGACCACGGTTTTATAATCACAATTACCAAGAGGGGCCACTCAGAGCAACTGTCACCTTCGTGGTGGCCCAAGGCGCCTCATTGTCTGAAGAAGTACGCCAGGAATCCGAGAAACCCACCAACATGCCTGCCTTGGCGAGAGCTCGGCCAGCTGGGCTGAAGAGAAATGATTCGTGAATTTCCTGAGCGACCTTTGGTGGAGTCCCCTGGAGAATCACAGTTTGTGGGGAGGCTTATTCCCCAGAGGTTGGGTTGTCTTCATTCTGATGGGCACAGAGCCTTAAGGCTGCTACATGGGAGCCAAGACTCGAAGCAGCCAAACCTGACAGGCCTTCCAGAGCTTGTGTGGAGACCGTCCATGGGTCACCTTTGCTCCCTGGGGGCGAGGGTCTGCCCTGGGATCCCCTGCAAACACGAGGCTCTAGGGAATACAAAACTGTTGGAAAATAATATAATTATCATCTCCTGCCTAAGATTATATAGCAGCATAGAAAAACTATAACCCGTATGAGCTGCTTTTCCATGTTTGGGGTTTCAAACTGCCCTGTTGGTATGTACACAACAAACGTTTACTAATTACCAAAAAAAGAAGAAAAAAAAAACAATTGTATCATAACGTTTGGTTCTTGAAGCATAATTAATTTGTTATTGTGAAATAAATGGACATACGAGAATGAATCAAGGTCCAGAAGGGGTGGGGGAAGTCAAACCAACATTGTAATGTTTTTGAGATAATAAAATGAGAAGAATCGTTTGCCTTGCTTTAGAGTTCTGTGGGTTGGGGAGGGTTTGGTGATGAGGATTTTAGATGACCTGGTGAGATTCTGTGTTTGTGACAAGCGCAGCAGTTCAGACCTCGGTGACACAGTTCTGCTGTGCCGCAGGCATGAACCACGGCCCCGTGATCGCTGGTGTGATCGGCGCCCAGAAGCCACAGTATGACATCTGGGGCAACACCGTCAACGTGGCCAGCAGGATGGACAGCACCGGAGTCCTGGACAAGATACAGGTAGCTCAGTCTGCTCTGCCGTCACGGGTCGTGTCTGTCCTCTTGGGAACCGTCAATGAGTACAGTAGTAATTATACTAATATATTAAAACAAAGGAATAACCTTGAGAGAACCTTGAAAAAAGTTTGACATTTACTTACATTTTTTTTTTATGGGGGGAATGTGAATTTATTTCTGTATTAACTATTAAGAATAATTAAAAAGCGTAACAATATCAAGGTCACTGCAGTTGTGACTACAGTGACCAGCGTGGCAGCAGGACAGCTGAGTGGGACGTGCAGGAGTTAAACCCGTCCCTCCCCTCTGCCTCCTGGCCAAACACCTTTCAAAAGGTGTCACGAGGGAGAGGGACTGTGTACCCCAAACCACAGGTAACCCCGCCTTCCTCAGGAGGAACGAGGGACCTGGAGCTGCTGGGGGAGAGGGAGGGAGGGTCACGGGACATGCGGAATGGCCACGCTCGACTGGACTGGAATGGGACGAGGACATGTAGAAGTGACTGGAAACACTGGGATCCGCCCGAGGGAGAGACTGGGGAGACCCTGACAATGAGTGGAGGCGGCGAGCATGCGCCCGCCGGGCCCGAGCCGGGCACCGAGAGCCAGCAAGGGGCAGGGTGTGCGCATGTGCGCGTGTGTGGATGTATGCGCATGTGCGTGTGTGTGCGTGTGTGGATGTGTGTGCGTGTGCGTGTGTGTGCGCGTGTGGATGTGTGTGCGTGCGTGCGTGGATGTGTGTGCATGTGGATGTGTGCGCGTGCGTGTGTGGATGTGTGTGTATGTGTGTGCCTGTGTGGATGTGTGTGTGCGCGTGCGTGTGTGGATGTGTGTGTGTGCACGTATGTGTGCGTGTGCGTGCATGTGTGGATGTGTGTGTGCATGTGTGCGTGTGTGGATGTGTGTGTGCGTGTGTGTGCGTGTGCGCGTGTGCGTGTGTGCGCGTGTGTGTGCCTGTGTGGATGTGTGTGCGCGCGCGTGTGTGTGGATGTGTGTGCGTGTGTGCGTGTGTGTGGATGTGTGTGTGCGCGTATGTGTGCGTGTGTGTGCGTGTGCGCGTGTGGATGTGTGTGTGCGTGTGCATGCGTGTGTGTGTGCCTGTGTGTCTGTGCCCAGCTTTCTCTCTGCCTCACCCTCAAAGAGCAATCGTTCCGCATTCCGCCCCAGCGACGCTGTGTCTGCAAGATGAATTCCTGCCAAACGGCAAATGTGTGTGAAAATCACTGGACACAAATAATAGGCTTTATCTGTTTCAGTCCTTCAGAAACGCGATGAGCCCGGCTCTGTGGGCCTCATCTGGGCCGAGGTCCTCCCACAGCCTCGCTCCTTAAAACTGCGATAGAGACTCAGAGACTGTGAACGTCTGCGGGAGGCACCTGTCCCAGGGCCCCCGAGAACCGGCGTGTCACTGACCCTCGACTTTCTCCCTTGCCCTTCACACTGCGCCACCTCATTTACCCAAGACGAGTCCCTGTCTGTGTCCTTCCTAAAGCATGTCGTTAACTTTTATTGAACTGAGACGTTACTTCAAAGCGTCCGCCTTCTTCCCATCAGATTCTTAGTCGCCAGTTGTGGAAAAGCCAGCGACATCCGACAAAGAGAAAGGAGACAGAACAAGGAAAGGGTCGGGAGGGAGAGAGGAAATGTCCCGCCTGCTGGTCCCCGGGGCCCAACGGAGCTCCCGGGACTGCAGGCCCGAACTACGGCCACTGCCTGTGGCGATGGCCCAGCTGCCCTTCGCCTCGTAGCCCTTGCTGGGAGAGGTCTGCCACCTCGCAGCCCAGCCCAGCCGCGCCCTGATGGCACCACGGCTTCCCGAGACTCTACGTGTGCGTCCCTAGCCACTCCTAGTGCCCAGGGGCGCTCCAGCCATCCCGCACCACCCAGGCGCTTCTGTCTGGGTGGACAGAGAGGCAGGCCCCTACCGAGGACACGCGTGCCCCCACCGCACACCTGGACATTCAGAAGGTGGGAGGTACCTGTGACCAGCCCTCTGAGAGAGCGGCCTCAGGGGGTTGGGGTCGGCATAGCTGTCTGAGAGAGGCCGGTCAGGGAGAGCGCTCCCTCCCGGAGCTCGTAAATGCCCCGCAGGTCAGTGTCGAATGTCTGTGTGTGTCTGAAAGGACATCGGGCATCATGAAATGGCACGTGACTTGGTGCAGAGCAGCCACCGGGACAGTCTCTGGGCCCCGAGCCCCGGGAAGGAGAAACGACAGGTTTCTGCTGGTCAGGAGCGAAGTGAGTCCGTAAGCCCGTGCGTGTGCACTCAGCGCACGGCTGGCAGGCTGGCGTGGGCAGGTGTCCTTCCCTGGGGGTGGAGCTCACTACCGTGCCCATAGCAACAGCAGAGCATGGCACAGGAAGGCAGGGGGCTATGCTCAGCACGGGTAGGTAGCCAATTGCAAAATTAACCTCCGGGCGCCAGGCCATGCTTGTTCTCTGGGCGGAGGGTCGGCGGTCACGTCTGTGGGATTCACCCCGATTCCGATTGTCCCCAAGAACTCCGATCAGGGGAACATATTTGTCATCGGAGTTTCTCGACTCCGTCTGTGTTCTTCCGAAGACCCTGCTGAATCCGAAGACCCTGCTCTCCTGCTGGCTTCGTGCCCGGGCTGCACCTGTCCTCCTCTGGGACTTGGGACAAGGGCCAGTCAGGGGATGGCGGGACATGAGTGTCTGGCACCTGGGTCCCCCTTTTCATCCTGCTTCCCCCCAAGGACCTGCATTCGGACCGCGAGCTAGCAGCTGGCCTCTGGGTCACGTTGCAGAGGACAGGGTGCTCTTTCTAGCTCTTTCCCGTGGCCTGCCCTTGAGATCTTTACTGGAGCCCTTCAGCCTTACCTGCGGGAGGCCCCGGTGTGTGCTGGCTTCTCTAAGCACAGCCTCCTGTGGCTTTGATGACTCTGCCCCAGTCCAGGACAGCGTCTGCCCAGGGGGCCTCTAAGCATCTGCCCAAGGGCTCATGGCCAACGCCACTGCCCCGACCCTTCATCAGCACCGACCGGGGCCCTTGCCACAAACAAAATCACATCATGGCATCGCCGCATTGTGCGCAAGCCTGTCTGGCTCACGCGTGTCACCCACATGCCGAGTTGCCCAGGGCCGTGCGGGTGTCATGTCCATGTCCTCTGATGAAGTGGGACAAAATCCCTTCTCTTCCTCTGCTTTCGTGCAAGGTCCCAAAGCAGCAGCATTTCCAGGGATTCTGGGGGGACAGCTCCCCCACCGCCCAAGACCCGATCCCTCCAGGGGGCCATGGCTGGGGGCTGCACACCCATAGGCGGGTCTTCTCTCACCTTAGGAGACAGGCCTGTGCATCTCACCCGTCCTCTGCCTGAGAAAATGTCTTTTGCGGGAGGCTCCTAAACACTCAAGCAGATGGCCCGGGTGGGCTGGGGCCTCACCCCCCAGACGGAATCCCCCGAGGGGGCCAGAGGGCAGGCCCAAGCGGAGACAATGCAAGGCTTCATGCAGGACAGGGCCTCTCCTGTCTTACCCAGCAGGTGTCACTGCCCTCTGACCCAGCAGCACCCGAAAGCGATGCGGCCGCTGGGCTCCTCGCCTCCTGGAGAAATGGCAGGAAGTAAAGAGTCTTGTCACGTTGACAGGCTGCAAGGGAGGGGCTCGCTCCCTGAGCAGCCACGTCAACCAGGAAGGAGGACACGCTCCCTGACCCACATGTCGTGCGTGTATTACGGCCAGAGCAACGTCCGGAATCATTAGCCTTAGGTCATTTTATCCATATGCATTAAACCTGACACATGTGGCCATTTGCAGGAGCTGACTGTGCTTCTCAGGGTATCTCTTAATTTTATTAAGATCTATTTTCACTATGTATTATTTCCTGAAAAGACATTCATGACCGTTTGTAAGCATCATCCAACATCCTACCATTCCAGCATATTTTGATTTGTTTTTTTTTTCTAGGTCTCTGATAAGTGCGTGATTAATTTTCACATGGCGGATATCCTAGTGGGTACCCAGGCTTAATTTTTTAGGGGAGGTGGGAGTTAGAAATTATTCCATTATCTCATCCACGATATTGATCACAATCGCATCATAGTCCACTTAACCCTGGAGATGACTTGAATTTTAGGTGTTTCTAGTTCTCACTACCGCAGCACTGAATTTGACAACCTTAAATTTTTTTTTTCTTTCTTCTCATGGATTAGTCTTTCGACTAATTTCTCAGGAGTGGAATTGATGGATCAAAGAACATGAACATTTTGGGGGCTCTTCATCCTTATAGGCAAATGGCCTTTCCAACGGGCCGTGTTGCTCTCCGCCCTGAACGCTTTCCGTTTTCCATGCGCTTCTAGGTGACGGAGGAGACCAGCCTCATCCTGCAGACCCTGGGGTACACGTGCACGTGTCGAGGAATAATCAACGTGAAAGGGAAGGGGGAGCTGAAGACGTACTTCGTGAACACGGAGATGTCTGGGTCCCTGTCCCAGAGCAACCTGGCTGCCTGAAGAGTCGCCGTGTCGGTGGGAAGACCGTGTTTTCAGGAAGGTACAATGCACTTTCTGACTGCAACTTTTGTCCCTCGTTTCTTGATGTGCGTGCTCTGTCCTGTCCTCTGGAGCCTCTGCAGACTCATTCCTGTGACCCGGTGGCATTCCGTTTGGTGTGTGACGTGTGCCAAGATCGCTCTGCCACTTGCACTGTGCTTACTCCTAAAGACAAGAGAAAGGAGTGTGAGAGAGAGGAGAAACGTTCACAGAGCCGCCACGGACGGTGGAGGCGAAACGAACACACATTCTTAAGGCAATAAAACTAGCGGGTGTATATTATCTTCTGGTGCATGTTCTTTTCTGGAAAATGTGGTAGCTTGAGTCTCATTAAAACACACAGTGTCTGTGAATAAGTTGATTCTCTCAGCCCACGTGGAATCCGACTGTGTCCACCAGGGTCTCATCGCCAGTGGCTGTCCGTGGGCCCCCTCGGGACCTGTGGCTTTGTCACCTTGCTCTGTTGTGTCGTGCCGGCAGCACGTAGCCATCCATCACCGGAATTAGTTCTCACAACCTAGGACCAGTTTTGTACCCGACGCATCTGATGTTTTGATGCCATTGTCTTTTGTAAGGTTAATTCATTAAAAGTTTCATGTACTTTGGGTCACAGTGTCTGTATCCACTCGCCCTTCCTTCTTTCTCCTGTGGTGTGCTCCAGACTAGAGGTTTGCAGGTTTGCTTTCCATCTATTCTTCCTGTTGACAGTTGCTTCGGAAAGCGCCTTCCAGAAGCAAAGATTGAAATGTCCTTGAGTCACTCAGATTAGGACAAAGTTTGCGATGCAGAAAAAATCGGCGAGGCAGAAGAAGGGAAGCACGCCCCATGTGTCAAGGGGTCTGCTTTTCATCCCGGCATCTCCAGAGAGCATTTTTCAGAGAAATATTTGAATATTAAAAAGGTTCTCTGTGAGCAGCAACACCCCGTGTCTGTCCACTGACTGTGGTCTACCATACTCCTTTGATAAGCTGTCAGACACAGGCCGCAGAAGGATAATTTGGAATAACTATGTCAGTTAGCAATCAACAGTTTGAACAAACCGGGAGAAACTGCCAAGCCCCACAAGCTGCCCATTATGTCTCAGGAGGCAAGAGAAGGCACAGAGCCTTCAAGTCGGAAGACCTGGCGGATTTGGTTCTAGTAAATTCGACTTTAAAGTTTCGGATTTTTCTTCACATAAAGAAGTCATACTTAGCCAAAGGGTGAAAATGAACACGGTAGTGTGTAAAGTAATGTTTAAAGCAAAGCCACAGGTACTGGGCTGGTTGGGCAAACCAGGTTTATTTTCTTGGCTCAGGGTCGCATCTGTAACAGGCAGGGGGCCCCACTGTCTGTTGGGGGGCAGCCTCTCCCTGGGGGCATGGACTTGCAGCCCGAGCCCCCAGTTTGAGGGCCGACTCTGATGTTTTACTAGCTGTGCGACTGTGAACACGTCTGTCGGTCTCTCTCAGGACCTTCCCCTCGCGGGTTGTCAGTGGCATCAGGCCCGGTTAAACGAGCTGCTGACTGACCCAGCCTGGCAGGCACAGGGCCAAGTCGTGCGAGCACGTTCACGGCACTGACATGGTGGCCCCGTGGGGACCTGGGCCCCGTCTCGGTTCAGAGCGCTCATAGAAACTAGTAACTGGCTTTCATGGCCGAAATGGGACTATGGCGTGTCTCCTTCAAGTGTCCGCTCAATCAGGATTTTTGATCCTATAAATGCAACTCAGCATCGGCCTCGATGCACCTAATTCTCCGAAAGGGCGACGGAAAGAAGAAAAAGCATGAGGGCGTCTGTCTTCCCTCTACCCAAACCCGTGCGGGGATGCTCGGGGCCAGCGACTCCGAACCGGCCTCGTGCATCGTCTGTGGCAAGACCGGCAGCTGCGCCTGCGGGCTCTCCGTCCCTCGGCGCCTGCAGCACCCGGCCCAGGCCACTTTATGTCACCTGCCCTGAGTGGATACCCGCAGCTGGGTGATTCACCAAGCGCTCTGAAACGCGCCCCCCGCCACGTGCCGAATTTGGTGAAAAGAACTCGAGAGAAGAATTGTTTTCTTCCCAAAGCTGTCTCACCAGTCGTATCAAACAACAGACCTTTTAAAGCAGTCAAGGTCATCATCAGTCTGCTCTGCAAAGGTCTGTGCATACGCGGCGTCTCTCAAAGTGCAGTCCCCAACCAGCAGCATCGGCCTCACCTGGAACGTGTTAGAGATGCAGATTCTCGGGCCGCAACCCGGACCTGCCATGTTCCATTTAGATGCCACGTTCTCCAGGTGATTCTGCCCCGCAGCTGAGCCTGAGACCCTCTGCATCTCACGAATGAGGAAAGAGGTGCAGAGAGGTCCCGGGGTTGTTCAAAGGGCCCCAGGTGATCGGTGACTGAGACGCGACTAGAATGGAAAAGTGCCTGTCCCCTGAAATCTGAAAGTGTGACTCCTGGTCCAAGCGCCTCAAGCTGTGGCAACCACAGAATTCCTGTGAGCAAGCCCTGGGAACCAGGGGTCTAGCAGTTCACGCCCACCCACCCACGGACCCTGCGCCAGCGGGGAGGTGAGACGCCTCACAGCCCCCTCGACCTCATGACAAATGCCTCAGTCCGGTCCCCCCAAACTGCAGTGGTTTCAACACATCTGTTTAGAGATGTCTGCGATGTTCCTTTTCCTGAGGGCCGCCACCGCCACTTTCCAGACAAGTCCTTTGAGTGCGTGTATCTCTTTGATAAGGTGAATTCATGGGCAGTCGTGGGCTGGCTTTAGGTGGTAAAAGTCAGGATGCCGAGGGACATGCATTCATTCCCAACGACCATGAGAACTTTTGAAACCTTGCCCAACTCAAGTCCTGCTTTTTAAAAGTAGTGGAAAGTTAAGGACCAGGATCTGACTTAAAGGAAATGAAAATAATTTAGTTCGATGCTAATGTCTTGCAGTTTCTTTCAGACAAAGGCACTTCTTAGGAAGGCCTTGTCTTTCTTAGTGATCAAGACCAAAAAAAGTAATTTATAAAAATTTTCATAACCAAAACTTTATATATTTTCTATTACATTATAAATATGGTTGAATTCACTCAAAGGCATTCCAAATATACTACTGCTATTTGGGGAAGTAAATAGAAAATGAAAAAAAAACTTTTTTTCAAAACAATAAAGAAATATTTACAAGTCACTCAGCCTTGAAATTACTAGCAGTTTAGTGTCATGTGTCCCTAGAGAATCGAAATAATGAAACCGGCAGTGGAGGAATGGTGTGGAAATTAATTAGACTACCTGCCCACGAACGGCTAAGCTGTGGGAAGTTTAATCGGCCTAGATGAAGGGTGACTTCTACGGGATCCATTCGTTAAAAATACAGCCAGTATCTTAATACTCGAATAAGTTCCCAATTATCTGCACAAACATCCGCAACTTAGGCTAAAAGCATCTGCTTCTAAAAAGAAAACTGTTGGAAGCAGCAGTCGCTGCCCCTGCGGTGGGGGTGTCCTGGCCGAGCCTGGGCACATTGCTTCCCGCAGGTGTTGGAGCCCCCCACCCCCACCTTGCCAATGACGGAGTGTGGGCTCCAGGTGAGGCGTCTGCCCCACGCCCAGCAGCGGGAAACCAGAAGCCCGGGTGTTGCCCGAGTCCGTCGGACACTAACGTCCAGTCTCTTCCCATGACCTGTGACTGCTTCTCCCTGGGGGAGTGACGGGGGTATCGCTGCCACCACCGAGGCCACCTGTCCATCCTGGGCCTTCCCCCTGTATTGTGCAAAATTCTGGCGGCCCAGACCTCTGGGGAGAACGTGAGTGGCAGAGCCGGGACTGTCAGGCCCGGGGCGCGCTGCTCCCCAGCGCCTCCCCCGGGACGCCCTGCGCACAAGGACACCGACCGCTGGCAGTGGCAGCAGCTCCCAGTTTTATTCAGGTGCTCGCGGAGCGCCGGGCTCCAGCACCGTCTCCTCTGAAACGGTCTCGCGTGCAAACCGCCGCGCCCGAGGTCCCCCGGGCGGCAGGCG